ATGATAGCATATGGAAGATATTTTATTTGGTACAAATTCTTAACTTGTATGTCTGAATCAATATTCACTACGGTTTCCTAAAAATATGATTGGTCGTCTTTTTTCATTAAATACGCCTGTAAAAAACTTATTGATCAGACAAGTTATAGTATGTTTTACTTCTACCGAGATAGCTACATCATCTCAACATAGGTGTTGGAATGCATATTTTTGTTTATTTCATTAGAAATTTGAATCATATGGAGAATATTTGATGTTTAATTGTTTTTTGTCTCACTATTTTGCTGTGATTTTTATCTTTCACATCAATTCATTGGTGAAATGATTCTGTTTTTTTATGGATTTACAATTTATGGTAAAGTAAAGTTTTTTTTCGAGAGTCTTGTTTAGAAAAATTACTTTGTCCAACACAAATTGTTTCAATTGTATTAGAGGGTGATTGATAAATTGGTTTTAAAAGCTATGAAAGCATGTTTAAAACGTGTAAATTCTAAATTTCTCTAATCAAACTTGTTGGATTTACCAGCTCTAAAAGTTTTAAAATCATTTTTAATTTTCTCACATCATTTTTTTTCTTGTTCATGTTATGCTTTTTTATGAAAGTTTTTATTTTGTAATTTTTTATATATTTTAAATCAAAGTTACCTACATAAAAGGCAAACAACTAAATATTTTTGTTTGTATAGGATATTATTGGATTTGATATACATAAGTTTACATAAAAATTATATTATAATTTACATAAGAATTATATAAATGTACACAAAACACTTAATTGTAATTTCTTTAAATTAATTTACAGAAGAATTAGCTATTAAATTGTTGGAATTAATTGTTAAAATTATTAAAGGCACTTAATTTTTTTATTTTTATAATAAATAAATTAAAAAAGACAAATATAAAAAAATTAGATGACATATGGCAGTCTCTCATGACTTGAATTTTGAGAATCCTTACTATATTATATAAGATTGAGGAGACATTTTGAAAATTATATGTGTCAATTAATGAGTAACTTAAAAGATAAATCAATTAAATCAACCAACAAAACATTCTAATTAATTAGATTTTCATGATGGAGACCTCTATATATAGTATGTATCAATCAAAGACAAATTTAAGAAACATATCATTTAAATTAATCAATCCAAATATTATAATTAATTAAAATCTCAATACATAATGGTTAAAATCTTAATATATTTTTATTATTTTTTAACAAAGACTCACAAAATACATGTGCCAAATTTAAATACAACTAAATCGTAACATTGTAATATTTTTAAAATATTATATAACATCCTAGGTCCTATGTATATTAATTGAAAAGACATTCACATAATATAGTTGATGTATCAATCAAAAAGTAAATTAAGGAACTTCTCAATAATCTATTAAAAACTAGCATGACATACTAAATAAAAAAAACTAACAAAGAAAACTTTCTCAATCATCATAAAGATTTAAACTGACCCAATGACACCTTAAATTTAAAATATTGGTTCGGCTATTGCAAATCGACTCAGTCAATTATCAGCACTCACAAAATTTAAAATGCATGTTGATTATTTATTGTTAGTTTTCTGTTAAAATAAATGAAATACTTTTAGTTAGACCATCTCCAATGTCTTTCTCTATTTTGAACTCTAAAATAGAGAAACTCTATAATAGGGTTGAGTTTTACTCCAATGTATTCCCCTATTTTTTTTTGTCTAAAATGAATATATTAAAACATATTCTCTTTCTATTTCATTACAAAATACTTTTTATTTGTAATATTTACAAATTGACCCCATTTATTTTATTCTTGCAAAAAAATTCAATAAACTATAATTTTTAAAAAATTTAACATTTATTATACAAATAAATCACGTTGCATCATATAATAAATAATGAAACATGGTAGATTTTGATTTAACCATCAACAATAGTATTTTCACATGTTACTTTGTACTTCATAAATATTCATTAAGTCATTAATAACTTAATATATTGACTTTATATATATTTAATGAATATTCATGTTTCTTTATGCTTAAAAAATATTATTTAACTTAACATAATATTCACTACAATTCTCTAATTTTTTTTTTTAGTCATAAGTAAAAGAA